TGTGAAACAGATCCAGTTCAGCTGCTGTTTATCTGTTAGTTTGTATGGAGGCTGTGAGCTGTTGTTTGGTCTGTTTCTGCTCCTCCATGACGTCACAGACACCAGTGGACAGGATGGGCGGGGCTCAGTCTGGTGATATTTATATTTAAGTCTATGGTCTCAGCAGAGGTTCTCCTCTGAACAAACTGTAAACTTTGCTTCTATCAGGATGAAACTGGTTTTATCTCAGATAAACTGTGATAATGATCTTATATAATCTGTTAACATTCATTCTGATCAACTTTCCCTCCAGGTCAGGTGTACTGAAGGAGTATATGAGTGGGGGTCAAAGGTCAGCTCAGCGCAGACACCGAACGTCCTCTGACAGCTCTGTTTACGACACTGAACGTAAGACGTGTTGTCATTTTACAGCCTGTGTGTTAGTAAAATATTTCATGAACCAGCCATCTGCTTTTATTCAAACAAATGTTTGTAGCCTTTAATTAAAGAAAGAAAACCCACAGAGGTCCCTGAAATAACCTAAAACTGATAAAGTAATAAAAATAAAAAAGAGTGAAGTGAGAGGTTCCACATCACAGGTACAGGCTGTCACTAATTACTTCAGGTTAAAAATGTTTGTGCAATGTTTTATTTAGTGTGAGTTTTTCTTAAAATCGTAGCAGAGTCTGATCATGTCAGGGTTAGATGAAATAATGTTCACGACCAGTTATACAGTTTACACAGAAATAAACCGACCTTCTGCACCAAATGTGGCCACAAATATTTAGAATTTAGTCAAACTGCAACACAAGTTAGATATTTTAGCCTTCAGCAGCGAGTCTCCAACAGTTCAGACTACTGAGACCCTGTCTTTAGACCCCCTGCAGGGTCTCCTTTTCACCAGCAGACCTCAGAGGAGTCAGAGGGATTCAGGAAGTCAGGAAACTGCCAGCCTCACCTGGAGCAGGAGAACCAGAGGATCACAGTGTGTAGGATGAAATGACACAACAAAATCTCAGCAGCTCTTTTACAGTCAAATGAAAAAGTTTGGGCAGTCTTGTTAATTTTCCTGATTTACCTTTATAAATCATTGATTGTTTGGATTAAAAATATCAGTAAAATATATCATATAGGGGACAAACACAGTGATATTAGAGAAGTGACATGAAGTTTATATGATTTACAGAAAGTTTGCAATAACTAAACAAAATTAGGCAGGTGCATAAATTTGGGCACTGTTGTCATTTTATTGATTTGAAAACCTTTAGAACTAATTATTGGAACTTAAATTAGGTTTGGTAAGTTCAGTGACCCTTGACCTCCATACACAGGTGACTCCAGTTATGAGAAAGGGTATTTAAGGGGGCAATTGTAAGTTTTTCTCCTCTTTTCATCTTCTCTGAAGAGCGGCAGCATGGGAGTCTGAAAACAACTTTCAAATGAGCTGAAAACAAAGGTTGTTCACCGTCATGGTTTAGGGGAAGGATACAGAAAGCTATCAGAGGTTTCATCTTTCAGTCTCCACTGTGAGAAACATTGTGAGAAAATGTTAGACCACAGGCACAATTCAAGTGTAGGCTCCTAGTGGCAGACCAAGACAAATCTGGAATAAACAGAAGTGAAGGATGTTGAGAAGAGTCAGAATCAACCCACAGACCAGCACCAAAGACCTAAAACATCATCTTGCTGCTGATGGAGTCACTGTGCATCGTTCAACTATTCAGCACACTTTACACAAGGAGATGCTGTATGGGAGAGTGATGCAGAGGAAGCCTTTTCTCCACCCACATCACAAACAGAGCTGCTTGAGGTTTGCTAAAGCACATCTGGATAAGCCAGCTTCATTTTGTGATAAGGTGCTGTGGACTGATGAAACTAAAATAGTTATTTGGGCAGAACAAGGGCCGTTATGCATGGAGGAAAAAGAACACAGCACTCCAAGAAAAACACCTGCTACCTACAGTAAMATGTGGKGGTGGTTCCATCATGCTGTGGGGCTGTGTGRCCAGTACAGGGACTGGGAATCTTGTTAAAGTTGAGGGACGCATGGATTCCAACCAGTATCAGCAGATTCTGGAGACCAATGTCCAGGAATCAGTGACAAAGCTGAAGCCAGGGCTACATCTTCCAACAAGACAACCACCCTAAACACTGCTCAGAATCTACTGAGGCCTTCATGCAGAGGAACAAGTAGGACGTTCTGGAATGGCCATCTCAGTCCCCAGACCTGAATATTACTGAAAATCTGTGGTGTCACTTAAAAAGAGCTGTCCATGCTCAGAAACCATCAAACCTGAATGAACTAGAGATGTTTTGTAAAGAAGAATGGTCTAAAATACCTTCAGCCACAATCCAGACTCTCATTAGAAGCTGTAGGAAGAGTTTAGAGGCTGTTATTTCTGTGAAAGGAGGAGATAGTAAATATTGAGTTAAGGTTTTTTTATGGTGCCCAAATTTATGAACCTACCTAATTTTGTTTAACCAATTATTGCAGACTTTCTGTAAATCATATAAACTTTATTTCAGTTCTCAAATATCACTGTGCTTGTCCCCTAAATGATATATTTAACTGATATTTTTTATCCAAACAATCAAAGATTTATAAAGGTAAATCAGGAAAATTAACAAGAGTGCCCAAACTTTTTCATATGACTGTAAATAGTTTATTATTCAGACTGGATTGGTCCCGTTAAAGGACTTATCCAGTCAACAGTTTTCTGTGGTTCAGATATCTGATTTCCAGATTTCTGGTACGTCCTGTCAACAGAATATTGAATTCTCTGAAACAGACAGGCCACTTTCTGGATGTGACCCTAAAATGGCGTGACCTTTGACCTGAGGGAGCTGTGCTGTGTTCCAGGTGTGCTGCCCAGTCTGAACGGAGAGTCGTCCTCTATTCCTGAGGAGAGGGGGGCCAGTGAGAGTCCAAAGACCACACCCACGGACACAGACACTGACCTGTCCATCTGATGTCCCCTGGGACCGGGCCGACAAACAGAAGAGCTGGCTGACCTTTGACCTCTGTTAGAACTTTGTTCTGCTGAAGTCAGCTGATCACCAAATAAAGGCACTTTGGAGTCCTTTTGGTTCCTTTCAGTGCTTCCTTTGCACACTGGACAGACTGGACCCGTCGTGAACTGGACTGTGATACTTTGAGCTGCTGGGCAGCCCATAGAGATCCACTGATCTGGACTCAGAGATTCTGTTCTAGCAGCTGATTGGATCCACCAGCTCTGTGAAAATGATGAACTGTACATTTGTAGTTTCTGCTGCTTTAAAAGGACCTGAGAATGTAAAGACCTTTGGAATCTGTTTTGTTTCCAAAAATCCTCACTCAGCCAAACGTTTCCAAATGAACTCTGACCTCCATCTTTCTTAGAGGATATCCACACATCAACATCTAAATCTGTCCTCTGGTCCTGCTTACCTGCTGAAAACTAAACAACTCCGTCCATCTGTCAGATCTGACCTGAAGCACTTTGTTTTTAGACTTTGCATCATTTCATAGAGAACTGTCCTGCTGCTCAAAGGAAAACATTTCAAACTGACTACTTTTCTACAGCAGCACTGAGTTCTGTGGAGTCAGGAGGAAACTAGAAGTTCACCTGAAGATCCACATTTTGGCAGCTAATATTCCTGAAGGTCTTCATCAGAACTTGAAGGTTAAACTGGAGCCAATCAGCAGGTCAAATGAATTTACTCCATTTAATAAATACTGGAGGTGTAAGTACTTAAATGTTGCTTCCTTGTAGTTCTTGTGCTTTAAGGGTTTTTTTTTTTTTTTGGAAGTGGATTCTGACTGAACATGACCTTGTTAAAAACGTCAAAATTATAAAAGCACTGATAGATATAAAAGTCCAGATTAACAAAACTTGTTTTAGACTGACATATTGAAAGAGACAAACGTCAATACAAACCAGTAGACAGAAACGTCATGTCAACACAAACCAGTAGACAGAAACATGTCAACACAAACCCGTAGACAGAAACATGTCAACACAAACCAGTAGACAGAAACATGTCAACACAAACCAGTAGACAGAAACATGTCAACACAAACCAGTAGACAGAAACATGTCAACACAAACCAGCAGACAGAAACGTCATGTCAACACAAACCAGTAGACAGAAACATGTCAACACAAACCAGTAGACAGAAACGTCATGTCAACGCAAACCAGTAGACAGAAACATGTCAACACAAACCAGTAGACAGAAACATGTCCACACAAACCAGCAGACAGAAACGTCATGTCAACACAAACCAGTAGACAGAAACATGTCAACGCAAACCAGTAGACAGAAACATGTCAACACAAACCAGTAGACAGAAACATGTCAACACAAA